CATAGACACACTCACACACAGACACACACGCTGACACCCATAGACACACAGACACCCATAGATACACACATAGACACGTACACACAGACCCACATACATACAAACGGACACACCTACATACAGACACATACATGCACCCACACACATACACACCCACACTCACAAACTCCCCCTAGTGGCAATAGTGGCTATGTGAGGCCCAAATTAATCAAATGGCTGAAAGATCACCGAAGATTTACCTCAAATCTCACTGCTAAATGCCAGCAAGAGAGACCTTTGGTGATGCCCTGAGTGGCTGGAGGTTGGGAAAGGGTTTCAGCTGCAGAAGTTAGGGATAGGGGAACCGTTTGATCGCTGGAGCTATGGAGTCAGGGATGGAGGAAGAAACTACCCCTGCCCCTTGGAAAGTGCTTCCATTATCTGTTCATTACTGGGAGGGGTATTGTAGGGAGGGAGTTACAGGGAGGATCAGTTTGGGTGTTTAGGGGGTCAACCGGGAGGGCTGTGGTCCCAGGGACATGATGAAGGGGCCTGAGAATTCCAATCTGAGAAGGTTATTGGAAGTTTTGTTTTGGTGCTCAGAATGTGAGAGATGGTGATGGTAATCCAGAGGCCCAAGACAGGCACAATGGTTCAAATCTGACCATAGTGGCTGATGGAATTTAAGATCAGTTAATTAAGAGTAGGAAGTGAAAGGCAGCATCAGTAATCAATTCTCAAAAAAAACTTTCTGGTTCACAAATGTATTCAGGGAAGAAAATCTGACATCCCTAACTTGTCTGGCCTACATGTGACTCCAGACTCTCAGCAAGGTGTTTGACTCTTTAACTGCCCTCTGAAATAGCCCAACGAAGCACTGGGTTCAAGGGCATTTAGAGCTGAGCAAGAGATCGTGGTCTTACCAACATAACCCACAGTTCTTGCAAGATTAAACTAGTTCAAGAGATCAAAGAGTCCTGCCAGAGATGAGGGATCAAAGGTCATACTGGGGCAGGAGTGACCCTGACAATACCGCCTTTCTCACCATCCCCCCAGCCCCCCAAAGCACTCAGGACTCCCCAGCCTACAGCAGCTCGAGTCTGCCTCAAGATAGAGATGGGTTTGAGTTTGGAAACAGATTTTTAAGACTTTAATCTCTCTGTTGACTCAAAACCTCACCCACATTTTAGACTGAAAGCCCAGCCCATGGATGGGTTGGGACTTTTTCCACTGGACTGTAGGAGTTTGAGTGGCGACCGTATCAAGGTTTATAAAATCATGAGGGACATAGATAAGGTGAGTAGCAAAGGTCTTTTCACTAAAATGGGGGCTTTCAAAACTAGGGGCCGTGTTTTTAAGGTGAGAAGAGAAAGGTTTAAAAAGGACATGAGGGAAAACTTTTTAACACAGAGAGTGGTTCGTGTGTGCGGTGAACTGCCAGAGGAAGTGGTGGATGCGTATAGTTATAATGTTTAGAAGACATTTGGATAAGTACATGAATAGGAAAGGGATATGGCCAAATGCAAGCGAGTGGGATTAGTTTAGTTTGGGAACATGGTCGGCATGCAGTATTTGCACCAAAGGCTCTAATTCCGTGCTGAATGACTCTATGAGTCATAAAGATCGCCAGTTATTTTGTAGCACGTATATGAAAATGTTTAAAGGCAATGGTAAAAAATGTTTTAAAAGGCCTTCTGTGACTCTTCTCCTGACTGTTGCTCAGCGCAGGCTCCTATTGTGCAATGTCCTGGAGACGTGAAACATGAACATTTGCAAACAATAAACATCAAATGCTCAAAGTCTCTTTGCAGACAGGGCTCTTCTGTAAAGTGTGTTTCTAACAGAGTCGCGGGTTTTAATGCTGACAGAATCAAGAGCTACTTGAACCCTCCTGTTTATTTTGTTTTTTTTAACAGTTACCTGCACAAGAACAAGCTGTTGTCATCTTTCAACGAGGATGTCTTTGCAGGAGTCCTGAGTGGACCCACTCTGCTGTACGTAGGCCAGATGCAGATTGATTTAGTCTTGGGAAAATTTCTGGAAGAACAAGGGTCCGTTAATAAAGGGCAAACAAGCATCACAGAAACATGGAATAACAGTGCCTGTTATTGTACAGGATTTACAGGATGGTGGGGGGGTATGAAATAGGGACAAACTGAATGTGTGGGGGTTGTGTGGCTTATTGTGGGGAGAGACACAGTGTGTGTGGTGGGGGGGCGACATTGCATGGAGTCACACATTCTGGGCTGAGGCTGATTGCAGCAGAAATTAAAGACTCTAGTGTGTTCTTCAATGTCTGCCTTGATTGGATTATCACTTGAGCATCTCTTTTCCTTTCAAATGCTCCAGTGACAATGTTTCCCTCATGACAAAACCATTCTTGCTGTACAACCTAACAGTGCCCTTTGTTCCTGTGGAGATTGGGATTGGGAAGGAGGTACAACATAAAGAGGAGTTGACTCAAAAATCATCCCCATTTTACACCACGACCAAACACAAATGAACAGGGGTGGTGTTTAGGGACACGAGGAGCAAGACGGGAATGGCACTTGGAGTAGCGTTTTTGTTACATTCCGTTCTTGCAAAATTTAATGAGGTTTCCCTGGCAGTGGTTCATGGGTGAAAAGGGGCAGTGCCAGTGTTTGTTAATTAATTCATTCGGGGGAGAGGGGCAATTCCATCCCTATCCCAGCCACTCCCATTTAGCCCCTCATGCACAAGCCCCCTGCTGGTTAGCATCCTGCCTATTTGGTAGAAATACCCCTGACCCAGTTGTGAATTGGGATGGGATTGGAAATGAGGCATTTACCTAAAGTGGGACAGGAGGAGGATGAGGCACAGGAGGAATGATCATTGAACACAGGTTCCACATTGCCGTGGTTACCAGTGTCGATAGCTCACTCTCCCACTCTCCATGTACCAAACAGTTTGATTTCAGCTTGAGAGTGGCCAGTCCACACAATCAGCCTCGGGTTAATATTGCCTTGTCCTTCTCATAGTGATGTTTCTCAGTCCAGTGTCCACTCCCTCCCAAGCAAAGGACTGGAGCCACTGAAGGAATTAATGGCAAAGAATACATGGACATTGAAGAGACTGCCTCCTCTGAAGACCTTCCTTCACCTCACCAGAGCTGACCTCACGTACCCGAGTCACTGCTGTGCTTTTAAGAACTGGAAGAAAAACAAAGGGTGAGTTAGTCACGGTGAGGAAACCCACATCAAAATGGTCTTTCCCTGGGAACATAACTCTAGATACTGAAACCCTCCTGGAGACAAGTAGAAAAGAAAATATTTTTCTGTGTGACCACAGAGTCCAGGTTTCGTTATGAGGATATTGCTGACTTTAAGAGAGTTGGGGGTGGGTAGGGGAATGTTGGTGATGGTGTGAATGAATAATGAACAAGTCCTTCCCTGTAAACTCGTGGAACTGAGTCGACCAAGACCATCCCAAGGTGCTTCACAGAAACTATTACCCAACAAAACCTGACCCTAAGTTTAATAAGGAGATGTAGGTCAAGTGAACAAAAATTTAGACCAAGAAGAGGGTTTTAAGGAGTATCTTAAAAGAGGGTGGGAGACATGGGGAGGACTAGGGAGAAGGTCTAATCTCATCGAACATTGGATTTCAACGTTTTTTGCTGGAAGGACTTACAATACATTGTGATTTGTGGAATTCCTCCTCTTTCACCACTCACACATTGTGAACCAAAAATACAAAACACAGTTGAATGAATAAATGGCTATTTACCTCTAAATGGAGATTCTCAAGACTTAACCATTTTCAAATTACCTGCAATTTTCACAGATCCCTTTCGGGTGCGCAGGAAATTCTTGGATCCTGGGAAGCCTGGCTGGGACACACTGGGGTAGGGTGTGGATATGACCACGAGGGAAGCAGTGAGTAAAATCGATAAGGGATGGCAAGGGGAAGAAGGCAGATTTGGAGGAATGTAGATATCACAGAGGGTTGTATGAATGGAGGAGGTTACAGAAGGAGGGAGGGCTGAGTCAATGGAAGGATTTGAAAAAGGATGAGGGTTTTAAAATCGAGACACCTTGATTGCAGGCAGCATGTAAACCTGAGAGGTTAGCACTGCTGCTTCACAACGCCAGGGACCCAGGTTTGATTTCACTGTCGGCTGACTGTCTGTGTGGAGTTTGCACATTCTCCCTGTGTCTGTGTGTGTTTCCTCTGAGTACTCCTGTTTCCTCCCACAGTCCAAAGGCGTGCCGGTTAGGTAGTTTGGCCGTGCTAAATTGCCCCATAGAGTTCAAGGATGTGCAGACTCAGTGATTAGCCATGGGAAATGCAGGGTTACAGGGTGGGGGTGGTGGGTCTGTTTGGGATGCTTTTTGCAGGGTTGGTGTGGACTCAATGGACTGACTGGCCTGCTTCCACACTGTAGGGGTTCTATGAGAGAACTAAGGCTGGGGTTTTGCCATTCAGATAATAATTCAGAGTAGAAGACTGTACTCTGAGTCCTGAATTCAGTCACTGAAGCACTCGTCAGATTTATTTCAATAACTATTATCCAGATATTCTGCAATGGCTTTTTCTGCTCTCCAGTTTGCCGTACAGGCTTTTAGAGTCAATAATGTGCAACCACAGCACTGGTCATGGTTTCCGGCAGAGAAGATCCTTCAGGTTATACAATGGCCTCTTACACCGTGATTACACTGAGGATAACAACGCAGCTCACTCCTCCAACCAGGCTTCCAAGCTCCACGATTTCCATAGCAACTCTCACTATTACGTCTTCTTCGAGGAACAAGGAGATGGAGATGTTGGGTTTGGCCAAGAGCTGAAGAACCCTCAAGAGGACCACGTGCAAGCTTTTGACAATCATTATGACTACATGGTGTGTGGAGGTAATGAGGAGATTGTCTGCAAGCCTGAGCCAGACGAATTTAACCCTTGCGAGGACATCTTGGGCTACAACTCTTTAAGAATCATTGTGTGGTTTGTTAACCTGTTGGCCATTTTGGGCAACACCTTTGTGCTCTTGATCCTCCTGACGAGTCACTACAAGCTGACGGTGCCTCGTTTTCTGATGTGTAACCTGGCAGTGGCTGACTTCTGCATGGGGGTTTACTTGCTGCTGATCACCTCAGTGGACCTTTATACCAGGACTGAGTATTACAACCATGCCATCGACTGGCAGACGGGGCCAGGGTGCAAAACCGCTGGGTTCTTCACAGTCTTTGCCAGTGAGTTCTCGGTCTACACGCTCACCGTAATCACACTGGAGCGCTGGTACGCGATCAACTTCGCCATGCGGTTGGACAGGAAGATGCGGCTGCGGCATGCCACCGTTGTCATGGTGGGCGGATGGGTGCTCTGCTTCACCTTAGCCCTTCTGCCCATTTTAGGAGTCAGCAGCTACATTAAGGTTAGCATCTGCCTGCCAATGGACACAGAGAGCCAGTTAGCTCAGGGCTACCTCGTCTTCGTCCTGTTGGCCAACGTCTTGGCATTTGTCATCATCTGCGCCTGCTACGTCAAGATCTACATCACGGTAAAGAACCCGCACTACAAATCTGGCAGCAAAGACACAAAAATGGCCAAACGCATGGCAGTCCTGATCTTCACCAACTTCACCTGCATGGCCCCCATCTCTTTCTACGCGCTGTCTGCCATCTTGAACAAGCCGCTGATCACTGTGACCAACTCCAAGATTCTGCTAGTCCTCTTCTACCCACTCAATTCCTGCGCCAACCCTTTCCTCTACGTAATCTTTACCAAGGCTTTCCGTCGTGACGTCTTTATCTTGCTGAGCAAGGTGGGTCTCTGCCAACACCGGGCCCAGCTCTACCGGGGGCAGGCTCTCTCTGGCAAGAACGGTGGCGGTCTCACCGGGAACCGGGACGGCAGAGGGGTGCCTGTCAATCTTGCCAAGGCCAGCCACCCCTCGTGTGGCCCTCACCAACACCCCAGTAACTGCGGGCTATCAAAAACTGCTACCAGAGGTTGTAATGTGAGTGAACTGTGACATGTGGATTGCAGGGTGGCCCAGGGAGATTTCTTTAGACTTGAAGCTTAACTCATGACTGAACCGGCTGCAGTGGGTAGCAATGAGAAACAAAAGTTGGTTTATTTGTATCATTACGAAATGGTTCATTTGTCATAATGTGGTGCTAATTTCAAAAGAGGCTATTGAACTGGCTCCATTAATGTATGAGAAGATTAATGGCGAGGTGTCTAATTCCAATGAGCTTGATGATCCCAATCCAGCTACTGGGATCCTATTGGAGGGGGGGTTGGGAATCACAAAGTTTCCAGGGGATGTGAGGGAAAAATGTTTTCACTCAGAGGGTGGTGGGTATCTGGAACTCACTGCTTGTAAGGGTGGTAGAGGCAGAAATCCTCATACCATGGAAGAAGTATTTAGATGTACACTTACAATGCCAAGGCACACAAGGCTATGGCCAAGTGCTGGAAAATTTGACCGGCACAGACATGATGGGCTGAAGGGCCTTTTTCTGTGCTGCAGATCTCCGTGTCTCTTCGACTCTATACAGGCCCCTTATTAATTTACGTTGGACGTAAAAGTAAAATCAGATCCAATTTGTCATTCTCAAAGCTGTCAGTATTCTGTTTATCAAAGGCTATACTCACACTCTTGCTCCCACCTCAATTAGTTGCACTGAGTGCAAGAGCAAACATAACTAATGTTCAATTAACTTGTGTATATTCGAACCTTTCTAATCCCCTCAAATTAAGACAGGATTACAGTTTGTACTAAACTCTGACAGCAGTTTAAAGGAAGCTAATTGGACTTAATATCTAATAGCGGAATAAATAGCATTATTTTTGTCTACCAGCAGAGTGGGCAATCCACGTTTGCATTCAGAACACCGATCAATGACCGTGTCTGTAACACTTCAATTCCATTCCAATTACTAAAACAGAACTCTTTACATGGGGCCTAACCATAACTGGTCTGGTGCATTAGTAACAACACTGGAAATGATCTCCCTCTCCAGCACTTCACTTCACTTCAGTCAAGCGAATTGAGTCAAGAATTTCTAGTTAAAATGCTCCCGTGAACATTTATTCAAAATCTGCGAGAATAATGAATATTTGTGAATGATATCATTGAGTATAAGATTAACTGAATTGCTAATGTTTTGGTATTGGAGTTCATATGTACTGAAAAACAAACAAACACTTTTGGATAAACGTCTATACATTAAAGCTACTTTATGTCAATTCTGGAATATCATATTGCTTGTAGATAGACTGGTGTTTTCAGTGCCTAAGCTGGCTTGTTTCTGTGTTAAAATGAAAGGGTTTGACTTCTTTTTTAAAGAAGAAACAGAAATGTGGAGATCCAATTCTTTAATTGTTCAAGGGACCTGGACATCACTGGCTGGTCCAGCATTTCTTACCCATTCCTGGTTGCCCTTGAGAAGGTGGCCCAACAGTGATATTAAGGAGGGGGTTCCAGCTATAGGAGGATATTATTAAATTGGAGAGGGTACAGGAAAGCTTTACCAGAATGTTACTGGGACTAGAGGGTTTGAGTTATAAGGTGAGGCTGGACAAGTTGGCTTTTTCTTTTCCCTGGAATGTCAGAGGTTGAGGGGTCACCTCATAGAGGTTTATAAAGTCATGAGGGGCATAAAAAAGGTAGATAGCCAAGGTCTTTCCTTGGGGTGGGGGGAGTTCAAAACTAGGTCTAAGGTGAAAGGGGAAAGATGTAAAATGTACCTGAGGGGCAACTTCTTCACACAGAGGGTGGATCATTTGTGGAATGAACTGCCAGAAGAAGTGAGAGATGCGGATACAGTTTCAACATTTGAAAGACATTTGGACAGCTGCATGAATAGGAAATATTTAGAGGGATATGGGCCAAATGCAGGCAAGTGAGTTAGTCTAGTTTGGGAAACTTAGTCAGCATGGACATGGATGGGTCTGTTTTCATGTTGTACAACTATGACTATAAATTTGACCCATTGACATTGAAGGAACAATGATATTCACACAAACAAGGAGCAGGAGTGGGCCATTTGGCCTCTCGAGGCTGCTGTACCATTCCAATATAATCATGGCTGATTGTAACCTGCCAACTCTTGATAACCTTTCACCCTCTGCTTAACAAGGATCAATACACCTCCACCTTAAAAATATTCAAGAGCTCTGCTTTCACCACCTTTTCAGGAAGAGTGTTCGAAAGTCTCACAACCTTTTGAGAGAAAACGTTTTGCTTCATCTCTGTCTTAAATGGGCAACCTAGTTTTTAAACAGTAATCCCCTTGTTCTAGATTCTTCAGCAAAAGGAAACATTCTCTCAAGAGCCTGTCAAGACCCCTCAGAATCACTTAGAAAGGCATGGACTAGTCAGGGATAGTCAGCATGGCTTTGTTAGGGGAGGTCATTCATTATAAATTTGATTGAATTCTTTGAGGAAGTGGCAAGGAACGGCGATGAGGGCAGCGTTGTGGATGTTGTCTACATGGATTTTAGTAAGGTATTTGACAAGACCCCACATGGCAGACTGGTCAAGAGTCTGTTTCAGCCAGAAACTTGCAACAATCAAGCTACAACAACTCAAGGCAATTGTTGAAGTGTGAAACTAAGTACTGATATGTTTCTCGATGATTAGTTTCTTTACAAAATACGTACCACGGATTCTTACTTCCTGCCCGATCTCTGGCTCTCTCTTTACGTGCCCTGCTAGCTAATAATACCCTGCCCCTGTGCACCTTAAGAAGTAAGTGACACGCCACTAACAATAACCAATCAAGAAAGAGGGACATTGCATCTTTCCTCACAATTCCTCTGCTTCAACAATGGCTGGATTCCCCTATACCAAAATGTGCCTGCTCTTTGGATGTTAAGCAACATTGTTCTTGGTATCTAGGCTGAACCAGTTAGCTGCCAATACAATCAAAACGGAGATATATAATGCTGCTTGCATCATGTTTGGCCCTTTACATTGGAACAGTGTCTGCTTTCTCAATATTTACAATAAATATCAGCTTGAACAAACTATTCTGACCAAAGAATGCCTTTTGTTTTAACCACAGAGACATGCTTTGTTGCCTTTAGACAAAGTCTATATTGTATATTTTGGTTAGTTTCGTATGTTCCTCTTTGCACAGAGGTGCTGTGTCACAACTGGTTTGAATCTCAACTCACAAAGTCAGAGAGAGATGGGGGACTGATCTGACATGAAGTTCCAAAGTCTTGTCGGGTCCAGTGCTGAGGAGAACCTAGCTGCTTCCCATTAGGGAGGGAGGAAAGCTCTGTAAAAGGCCAGTTCAGGACAGAAGCAGAAATCAGTGCTACTCACATGGAAATTGGCTACTCTCCTGTTTCTCATCTGGGACCACAGTCTCGAATAAGCAATCAGCCATTTAGCACTGAGATGAGAGGAAATGTCTTCACTCAAACTACTGTGAAGTTTTTGAATTGTTTTGGACCAGACCAGACTCCCTTAATATATTTTAAGAAGGTATCCTAGGCCCTAACATTTTCTTATTTTAAAGGTAGATGTGAAGAGCCATGTTCCAGATGCAATGCGATTGATTAAATTACTCAACGTTAAGCAAAACACAATTTATTTAAACACTGTAGTTAAAATACAAACAATAGAAAGAGGAATTTAGAATAACTTAACTATTGGAAAACCTAACTGAATAATAGACACAGTACCTATTACTAATTAACTGTTCCAATATAGTAACATCCCATAAACACACCCCTTGGCAAAAAGGCTAATTCAGTCACAGATTCTCACATGCAGTTCTCCAATCCAGGAGGAAAAACACATCAACGGAGGATTCAGAGAGAATAGCAGCCAGGAGACATTCTCTGAAGCTTCCAACTCTTTTGAGACCCCAAAGACTTCTGCTTAAAACTAAACCTAAAAACTAAAAAAAAACTAGAAAGCCTGGTCAGTGAGAACTGGTCCCACCCAGGCTGCTTCTATTGTTCCAGCTTTTAAACAAAAACCCAAGGCCTCACAAATTGTTACTTTCTTAGGGACAGCTCTGTACATCTGCTTAACAACCTGTCTTTAAATGAAATAACCTTTTAAAGTGACAGCATCATCACAGAATGATCTGCCCCAGAAACGTGTGGATGTGCATTAAGACAAAGATCAGTGGGTTCTAGGATACCCTGGCAATTTTAGGATGTAGGGATGGTATGGAAAAGTGGACCTGAGGTGGATTATGAGCTGTGATTTTATTCAATAGTTGCAGTGAGGTAGGAGGGACAAGTTTAAGCATTCTTACTCCTGTTTCTTATGTTCTTGGCACACCCTTCTTGCTTTTGTATTCTAATCTCACTACTAGTAAACCTATGTTTTCCATCTGCCTTTTATTTTATAGAATCATAGAATTATACAGTACAGAAGAGGCCCTTTGGTCCATCGAGTCTGTACTACACTAAATCTAGAAGACAGTAAGGACTGCAGATGCTGGAAGCTAGAGGCAATAAATGTGGAGTTGGAAAAGCACAGCAGGTCAGAGAGCGTCCGAGGAGCAGGAAAGTCAAAGTTTCAGGCCAAAACCCTTTGTCAGGACTGGGAAGGGGGAGGGGAGCCAGCAATAAGTAGAAGTGGGGGAGAGGGGCTGAAGGAAGGGTAGGTGGGATGGAGATAGGTGGATGCAGGTAGGGGGTTATTGTGGTTCGTCAATGGGAAGAGTGGAGCGGATAGGCGAGTACACTAAATCTACACTGGTCCCACTTGCGAGCACTTGGCCCAAACCTTCCAATGTTATGACATTTCAAGTGCTCATCCAAGTAATTTTAAAGTTGGTGAGGTTTTCTGTCTCAACTACCCTCCCAGGCAGTACATTCCTGAACCCCCATCACACGCTGGGTGAAAAATATTTTCCTCAGGTCCCCTCTAAACTTTAAAATGACAGCCCCTTGTTATTGACTCATCAACAACTGGGAACATCTGCTTTCTATCCACCTGTTCATGCCCAACATAATCTTATACACCTCTCTCAGGCTCCCTCCCCCTGCAACCAGCTT